GACGACTCCAAGGAGGTCCGAGGTCACCATTACTGGAGAGCAAAGTATCTTAAAAGGCCCTGGGTTACCCCAGTCCGCCCCACCCCCACACATCATGGCTACACTGACAGCAGCATCTGGATGCAGGGGAGAGCACTGAGGTTTCACGAATTTGGAGCCCCAATGCCACCATGCTGCCTGACAGGGTTGGTTCCCTGGGATCGGGGCCACCAGATCACAGGGGAGGCACCTACTTCCCATTTTCCAATAACCTGGAGATCTGAAAAGCCAGAGAAGAGCAAAAGAGCTAAAAAAAACCTTGTAATTCATCACTACTTACTGGAAAATAATAGGACTTCTTTGTATCAATCTACTAGGGAAATGCCACTCATATATAGATGCCTAGATAGAAAAGGAATCCATTGAATACCATGAATAACCAAGGTAGTGAGGCAGATAAGAAAATTTAAAATCTCCAGAATATAAACTTAAAGACACGGAAGTGTGTGATTTAAATGACAGAGAATTAAAGATTGAAAGATAACATCTAGGCCTCAGTTATGTTTCAGCTTCAGTCACAGAAAAGTGGGGGAAACCAGACTATGAGATGCCATGGCTGACATAAAGACCAAGAGTATTGATCAATGACCTCCTACGCTAGCAACAACCAATCAACAGAGACCACAACCTTGACCATGACCCTAACCATGACCCTAACTCCCTTAGTCACAATGATTAATGATATCTTCCCCTATAGACCCCATTCCCTGGTAGCCTTCGGGAAGCCAGGTCTTTGAGCATTTTGCTCACCTGTGTCTCTGGGCACGGGCCACTTCCTAAAAATAAACCCTTAGTTTCCTTGCTGTAAACTCCTGTTTGGTTTTATTGAGCTTTGATGTGCACAGGCAAATGGATCCCTTTATAGTCTGGCAACAATGGTAAAATAGAAATTCTTTATAATTTAGGAGGTTTCAAGGCAAGGTCTTGAAATACCCAGAGTCTGCATCTTCAAATAGGTCTTGTTAAAAAACAAAATTCTGAGTAAATTTGAAGATCAAATTGGCATTATTGAATGATTCATGAATCAGGCAGCATCCCATCTAGAGCTCCAAAAGCCTGTATAAAATGGAAGGCTGATATAGGCAGAAGGTGGAAGGGATTAGAAAACAGTGGGATTACCTCATCCCTCTTTGGGGGAAGAAAGGGTTTACGCGGCAGATTACCTCTATAGTGTTAACCAGGTAATTCCAGATTGACTTAAATTCACATTCTTGGGAGAGGCGGAAAATGGCAATTAAGTCTGAATTTGCTGAGGTGGCCTTAGCACAGGTGACTCCATTATGAACTTTTTTTTAACAGTCCCAACCTCCATAGGATAAGAACCATGATTTACATTTATCCTATTTGTATGTCGAGTAAAACAAGAAAGCCTGCTAGTGTTAATGACATGGTGTTAAAAGAAAAAGATTATTCTCCCTATTCTCCATAAAAAACAATTAAAACTGATTTGAAATTAAGAGCTTGACTCTCAAACCAGATGTTGTTTGGTTTTCTTTTAAAGTTTCAGCATTTAATTGAAATCACAAAAGAACTTCATTAAGCACTTGATACTTGATTTCTAACTGAAAAGGTTAAGCTTCCCTGCAGAGAAGCATAGCAGTAATTGCTCTGCCTACTAAGTAAAATGTATAGTCATTTTTTTGAAAAAAATACAGTCAGCTGTAGCCGGTTTGGCTCAGTAGTTAGAAAGATGGCCAGCGGCCCAGAGGGTCACCACGGGTTCGATTCCGAATCAAGGGCACGTTCCTCCGCTCCCAGCTAGGTCTCTCCCCAGGAGGCAACCAATGAATGTGTTTCAGTCATATGATGTTTCTCTCTCTCTCTCCCCCCACTCCCTCCCTTCTCCTTCCCCTCCACTCTCTCTAAAAAAATATCTTCAGGTGGGGATTAAAAAAAATACTGTAAATGTTTCCTTCGATTTTTTAATTTATTTTAATTTCTTCCCAATTCTATTTTAAAGTAAAGTAGGGAATTGAGGGAGGGGTGAAAGTTAGTCAAAACTTCTTAGAAAACTTGACCGTTTTCTCAAGGCAAATATCCAAAACTGCAATTCCTTGCTTAAGTGTCTAAAAGGAAGGGGGAGCTGGCCTAAAACATGGCCGAGATTTGCAAACCTTGGCCAAGATGAGTCTATGTACTTGAATCAAAGCAAGGGAGTTTAGAGGGAGGGAGGGAGGGAGGGGGCAATGGAAAGAAGGCAGTTTCTCAAGATGCCCTAGCCCACCCAATGCCTCCCATGAACACTCCAGCAGAAAACTGTTCAGTTCACTTTAAGTGTATGGGGTCCTAAAGTAATTCTTTGACCTTCCAACAACATGGCATTTGAAACCACTAAGGGAATTCAGAAGAACAAATATTAAGCCCTGTAGAAAAGGTCTTAATTGGCCTCCGGGCAAAACTTACAATACGCACTTTCTGTTTTGACTCTTCTATTCTTAGAGACTACAAAAAGGAAAAGGTAAATATGATTCATTCTTTAAGAATTTGAGTTCCTAGTCACTGCAGAGAAGGGTTCTTTTCCATAGTCAGCTTCGGGAAAGTAATATTAACAAATGGCAAAGGATTTCCCATCTATAGTCTAGCATCTAGCTCTATTATCAGCTGTGATATTTTTACAAATATACATTATGTATAGGCAATGTACAGGATTACAGAGAATTGGAGCAGAAATAAGGAATGAATAAAAATAAATGAATTATAAAGATGCATAATCCTTACAAGGCAAAACTATCCTTCAAAACCCCTTTTGAAATCACGAAAATATGTAAAGAAACCGGAGAAATAAAACAATCAGTGACTGAAACCCAGGTTAGTAGGGAAAGGTTAGAAAGGACACTTCCACTTACTGAAGATCAAAACGTAACTTATATTAAATTCTCTTTGAAGAGGAACAAATTTGCCTTTTAAATGGTAAAAAAGGGCCAAGCAAGGAGATTACTCAGAAATCCAATGCTTGAGTACCAACAATCACTTACTTTGTAAATGGTCGGTAGGATCTGTTTCATTTTCAGCCTGTGAAAGACGAAGACATCATAAACGGCTGAGACTGCGAGAACAGTCACTCCTTGTTCCTTCCACAACATGCTGCATCCTGCACACAGTCCTGTCCCCAGGAACCAGCCCCACGTCCTGGCTGAGTAGCCCCTTGTGGAACAGTGTTTAATGTAGCAGAGCAAGGAGAGGAGAAAGAAGAGACTGGCCCCGAGATCGGCCCGCCCCACGATTCCTGCCACCGCCTCCGTGTGGATGGGGTGAGAGGCGAACATCAGGCCCGCCATGAAGGTCCAGTATCCGTCCCCAAGGAGTATCTTAGAAAAGCTCGTGAAGAGCCCAGTGACTGCCGCGTGCAGTAGGATATTGACGAGGTGGTAGCTCCAGGGATTCAGCCCTCCGATGGCATGGTTCAGGCGAAAAGAGAGCGTGCAGAGCGGCCGGTAGGACTTGTGGCTGCCACTGTGGGTTAGAAGAGTCCCCCAAAAATCATTGTAGAAAATGTGCGTCCATGGCGTTTCTGGGAGAAGGTCCTGATTAGTCTTGATAGCGCGGCTAAAAAACAAAATGTTAAAAAGAAAATCAAATGAAAAATACAGAACGAAAACAGACAAGAAGATACGTGACACTGCTAAGATACTGCCTTCCTCCCTAGCTCTGTTGTCATGAGACTTTACGCTGGGATTCCAGGGGTGCATGATTAATGCAAATGAGTTCTATAGAGAGTCGGAACTGAGATCCTCTCCTTCATGTTTACTAACACCACAATTAGGATTGTATTTCTTTTCCTCAGCACCTTCCTTCCTTGTCTGAATGCAAGTTTGTTGGAAGAATAAATGCAGAGGTTCTATCATTTGTTTAAGCCTTAATGCTAGATGTTGCTAAACAACTGTCCTAAAAATCACATGGTATACTGATTTAAAAAGGTAGATTCTAGGCCCACTGATGTGAGGCCTGAGAATATGCATTTTTTAAAAGCATAGCACAGGTAAGACTGGTGCAGGGGGTAGACTTAGAGCAAGAACTAGCCCCCGACTAGAAATAAATTTTAAATAGAGTATCTGTGCCCAGAGTGGTAAGTTTTAAATGTACACCTCATCTGGGAATCTTGCTAACAGGCAGGTTCCACATTTCTAACAAATCCCCAAGTAAAGCTAACTCCACTAGTCCGTGGACCACACTTTGAGAATCAAGGACCTATGGAGCTGGAGAGATGAGTAGGAATGGCTCTCCATCTATCCAGATATTTCCCTTCTTCCTACACTACAGGAAACTTCAGCCATTACCCCTTCTGAGCTCTCACAGGACTTAGTGTCACCTACACCAGGTGCCACAATGATGCACTTCACTGTCTCCTGCTTTAGAGGATTAGTAGCTTCCTTGTCTCCTGCTTTTGAGGATTCAAGGACAAATGATCTAGCATTTGCTGAGCACCTGCTATCTGCCAAGCACCCTGCTTGTCGCCTTGGCTATATCTTCTTGGTTAATTCTTAGAATAACTGATGAAGTAGATATTATTACCTACATTTCTCAAATGAGCAAATTATGATTGAGAAAGTTAAATTAATAACGAGTCCAAATTCACACAAAGCAGAAATAGCAGGGTCAAGTTTCATGACCCCTGCTCTTTCCACTATGATGGGCTTCTCAAAATATGATCCACATACCACTGGGAGTATGTGAGAAAACACACCAATAAACCGTGTAAAATTTTAATGGCTATATTGGTTTTAACGTACATTTGAAACAAAATTTAGTTAACACATCAAAGCTGGATTTCATAGATATTTGCTCAGAATGAAGCTGTTAAAAATTTAAAAGTCCATGTAAAGACAAATATTAAGGAATCAATAGTTCTGGTATATGTGGGTAAGCTACAATTGTTGAAGGTAGCACATAAATGACTCAGTTTAGAGGATTCTTGCTCTCTGGCATTATACCTGTCAGAGAACAGGGTGGTATCTTGAGTCTTTTGTATTTCTAGTGCATCTATCTCAGTATTTACAGAACACAAAAGAGGCACATGAGTCAGAAGAAAGCAGGAATGAGACCCTTAAGTAGAAATCTCTTGCCCAGTCTGATGTCAGGGTCTTTTAAGGGGTGCAGGAATTTGCATAGCTAAAAAATATATGGTTGGTGGCCACCCTGATGATCTTTACCTCTAGCCCCTCTGCCAGTTCTGCCTTTCATTGTGAGGCAGCCATGATTAAAGAAATTTCCAATGAATTTTACCAAAAATCAGGTTGCAAAAGCCCTGGATTGAAGAGAAACATTCCTGAGTCCCAGCTCTGTAATTTAATGAGTATCTTCAAAAATAACATAGAACAGAGATTCAAACAGATTAAAAACCCACCCTCGGTGACAGAGCCAACAGAAATAGTATTCCATTTGGGATCAATGACTGGGCATTGCTGGTTTTCAACTGCTTCTCTCAATGGCTTCCCAATTAACCTCTCTGAGCTTCACCTTCTCTAATGATAATAGTTTTACTTTGAAATCATGTAACAAACATTTGTAATTGTTCATTTTCTATGAAGAGAACACTGCTTTGCAGACACATGAATGTTCTGAAGACCTAGTACAAATGACATCTCAGTCCTGTTAGCTGCTGTTGTTATTGTTCTACAAAGACTGGGATACAATTTACAAAAAGTCCCTTATTAAAGTCTGCTTGACCCATACCCTCTGAAACTGGGTGCATTTAGCAGTTAGAATTAAAACAGACTGATCAGTAGTTGATAATTATCTACTCTGTCTCAAACACCATACTATTCCTTTTATATCTACTTATGAGAACTAGTTGACTTTTCTAGATGCTCAATAAAAAGGCAAAGGTCTGTTAAAATGATGTCTTCAAAAATAATGTGGCAGGGATAGTTGTTTTCCAATGTCTAGTTCTAGCCTTTTTCCATACTCACCGACCTTCTGTTTTTAACTGGGCATATGGTCACCTAGAAAAAAGATTTCATTTCCTATCTTCCCTTGCTACTAAAGATGGTCAGGTGACTAATTTTTGGCCAGTGGAACATAAGCAGAGTTCTATGTACTACTTCCAGAAAGTGCCCTTAAAAGGTAAAAGAGCTTAGCATTCTTCCCCACCACCACTACCTCCTTCCTGCGGGAGCACAGATTAATAGCTGGGGGTCCAGCAGTCATCTTGGCCCATAAAGTGTCCTTAGGAATAGAAATCATGCCCAGCACAGCAATAAGACTGAAGGAAATTGAGTTCCTGTCACGGAAGAACATACCAACCCTGGGCTAACTACCTCCCCACTGCATGAATGTGAGAAATAAATTGCTATATTGTTTAAACTGTGATATTTTGGGTGTTAGCTAGTGGCAGCTGAACCCAGTCATAAGTGAAATCCTCTGTTCACAGAAGACCTACTATATCACAGTGGTTTGATTTTTCCATTTTGATTTTTATTTTTACAAGTCTCCATGTATTGACGCTGTATTAAATGAATTTCCATATAAACTGACTTTTAAAATATTAGAAACAGATGTTATTCTGGATCCATTAAATTAAAACACCCTGCTATGACATTCATCAAGAGTCTAACTCAGAAGTAATTGCTTAAGACTCAATGAGTTATAATTAAAATTTAAAAGAAATATGAAAACAGTTTTGTCAGAGAGAGCTGATTTCAAGCAATTCAGAATGAAAACCCAACTGACCCCTACTAAACATTAACGTAGATATTGATGTGAATTTCTCTAATATCAATGCAAAAACGCTCATACTTATCCAGGTCAGAGCAGTGGAAAGCTCAATAGCAAAGCATTCTGGGATAAGGCTTTGCTAATGTAAGGAAAGCTAGAAAGCAAATTTTGCTCAGGACAATACTACACCCTTTCACTGGCAGAACCATAGAACATGGAGAACCACATTCTCCAAACCAGCTTTTCTATATGCTGTTAGTGCATTACCATAACCCATTCTGTAAAGACTTTTGAAGAAAAATAATAAAACCCATACTTTAAAAAATCTGTAAAACCTGACAGAATTTCTTATATTTATAGCAATAAATTATAGCAAGTCTAGTAATATGAAGCAGCCAGCAAGATATACTACACATCTAACTCACAAAACACGGGTTTCAAAAAAAATTAACAAATCTCGTAATTTCACTGTCAGAAAAAACTTTGATGAGGCACAGCCCTAAATTTACACTGCAGAAAAAAATTTAAAGGGTAGTTAGTGTTAATAAAACAAAAGTGGAAGAGCAAGAGAACACTTTACCCATGTGCAAAACATACTATACAAAGGGAGCCTTTAGTATGTAAGAAGCTCTGACAGGCGTTATCTGCTTAGAAAGGTTTTCACTTAACTGATGAACATTATGGCAAAAGTACATGAAATAAAACTAAATTGTACTGGGCTTTAGTATATAAGTCACATCACACATGCATGTCAGTGATAAGCAACGCCTCACATCACTTTAAGAAAGATAGAGACCAAAGGGTCTTTAATAGGATCTGAAAAACCTGCCAGCAAAATGAGAAGAGGTAATCATTCAGCACCATGAATAATAGATTTTCATCCGTTTGTGATTTCTTACACGAGTCCAAAATGGAAATAGTAAAATCTCTTCTCAGCTAATGAAAAACCTAATTCAAAACAAAATTTCAGGCTCATATAACTTCTGAGGTTACTTCTGTGAATTGGGATTGCAAGTCAGAAAGGTACCAAGAAATTAGGAAATTTTCCACTCCCGAAAAGGTGAGGAAAATCGGAGCAGCAGATGTGAAGAAGAAACAGCCATAAGCAGAGTTCTCCGCAGAACATGTGACTGGGAGGCTGGCTTCTGAAGCACAAAGGCCCAGTTGCTCAGGTCTTCCAGTTCTTACCCCATTTCCCATTCTGTTCCTTTGTGGCTCTTTGTTTTTGCTGCCTTATGATTTTTCCTGTAGGAAACAGTGGCAAAGGCCAATGCCATTGTGAAACTGATGAATGACGCGATGCTGCTGTCCCAACTGTCCTCGTCGGTGTTTCTCTCATGGCTGTTTTTTCTGTCCATTGACCATTTCAGTCACAAACACCCACATAAATGATGGCCATTGGTTCTCTGAGCAGGAATGGTGCTCAGATTCTTCAAACATCAAATTTAAACACTCATTTAAAACACTCATTTAAGAAAACTGGTTCTGAAGCCAAGTGGGCTAAATAGAGTTCTAGCTATGAGACAGTGGACAAACAGGGTGACTTCGCTTTGTACCTGTTATCTGTAAAATAAAGATAATAACTGTACTTGCCTTATACGATCATTGCAAGAAGTTAATGAGTCAGTAAGCAGACAGTACCTTGTTATATGTAACAATGTGTATATGTACTATAATATATGTAACACATGTTGGCTGTTGTTATTATTATTATTGCTATTATTACCATCAACACCAAACAACTGATGTCGGCCACCATTGGACACACAGTGCTTGTTTATCATGTTCATAGCCTCCAAAATCTAGGTATCGTAGTCATGAGTATTTCACTTAAAATTCCCCTAAGCTTTAATGACCCGCTCAGAACAAGATCATAACACGTCTGAAGCTTT